CAATTATTATATATATACTTATGTATGAAAAAAATTATTTAACTAATGTGTTAAATGTCTTTGTCCTAAAATTTATAGTGCTATAATATGTATCCAAATTTTAATATTATGAATGCACGATATAATGCTTTCAATAAAAACATTGCTCTGAGACTAGATTTGTTCAGCTTCTTTTAGAGAAAGTAGTAGACATTTCCTCAACCCACTATACCAACAAGCATGCATTTGATAGTCAGTACTATGTCGGCCACCCCAATGCCCGTCCAACCTGTTGTTGTACTTCCAATTACAAAGCCCTTCCACACCCCTATAACTCCCACCACACTACCATCTCCACCATTCTTCAAGGCAATCCCCTCTGCTCCTGAGCTGTGTATATCTTCTCCATAAACAACTCTCCATCTTATAGGAGAGAGTGAACAAAATGATACCTCAGTTGAATGTGTTTTATTCCTGTATGAAAAGCTACATTCTTACTAAGTGTGAAGCTTTCCATCGCCTGCTCCTAGCCCAATTTTCTCAAAAATCTATGTAGTCAAATCAACTCCTTACCAGTCTTAGTGATAACAATGTATTCGACCTCCGTAATTGGAAGTACAACAATCTTCTCCAACCTGTAAAACCAACTCAATATTGTGTTACACAAAATGAAGATATGACCTATTGTACTTCTTCTACAATCCACATCTCCTGTTAGATCTAAATCAATAAATCCATGTAAACTGATCCGACCACTTTCATAAGAAAGTGTTATGTTGATTGTTCCCCTCAAATACCTGAGAATGCACTTCATTGCCTCCCAATGATGTAAGCTTGGATTGCCCGTGTACTTGATGAATACGTCCACTGCATATGCAATATCTGACTTGATACAAATCATCGCGCGGATGAAACTTCCAACTGTTGAAGTATATGAAATCTCTTCATCTGTGGCTTGCATTGAAGCGCTTACTACTATCTAACTCATCTTTCAACCTGCAGACCCACTTGTTGTGTAGTGCTCTTTTGTCATTTGGTATGACTGTCAAATCCCAAGTTTTATGTGGCCCCAAATATTACATTTCTTTATTCCCACTTTCTTGAATCTTCAACTTGAGTGACCGACTCAAAACACTATGGATCACCATCATCAATTAATAACAAATAGTGCAATGAAGGAGAATATCTGTGTACATGTCTTATCACTCAGTTGTAACTTTTGATTTCTGTAGTAGGTGGTTGAGAAATTTTCATTGCTCCTTTTGGTTGAGCACCACTTCTTTCTCGACCTTTCTGACCACCAATATCGTGTTTTCTCAACATACTTAGATTTTCCATAAGTAGCTAATGAGCTATCATGAGTTTTGACCCGGTCCTTATAAATCTTTATGTCATTAAAAGTAAAATCCCTACTCCTTATGAATTTCTAATTTTGATAATCCCAGAAATTGTACCCAAACTTATCTAGGTCATGTCCAATGAAGATGCACTTAACTGATCTCGAGTTAAGTTTGTTTCTGGACTCTGCATCAATAAGCACATGCAGAACACTCAAATACTCTTAAATGAGAAAGATTTGTCTTTTTTTCACTCCAGGCTTTTTCAGGTTCAACCAAAGTTACTGATGTACCACATTTAATCAGATAAATTGTAGTATTTACTGCTCCAGTCCAAAATTGTTTTGTTAAGCCTATATGCAACATCATGCTCTTAGCACGCTCCGCGAATTTTCTGTTCATGCACTCAACCACACTATTTTGTTGTGGTATCTTTGAGACAGTGAACTCATACCAGAACTCCTCTTTAGTACAAAAATTCTTGAACTTCTAATCATGATACTCATTACTATTATCTGATCTGAGACACTTTAACTTGAAGTTTGTCTCATTTTCTACCATAACCTTTCACTTCTTGAAGACTTTAAATACATCAATTTTTTTTTCTTTAACAAATAAACCCATATCTTTCTCGTGTGATCATCAATAAATGTGAAAAATTGGTGAGAACCTCCAATGAACTGAACTGGAGTAGGACCCCATACATTAGTATGTACTAACTCTAATTTTTTTTTTCACCACCGACCCACTCTTAGAGAATAATGATTTTTCTACTTGACATATATACAGTTTTCACAAAAATTCAGATCAACCGATTTTAACCCCTGAAGCTTATTTTTAGAAAGTATGGACTTCATACATTTCTCGCTTATATGGCCAAGCCTATGGTTCTATAGACCCGCATCAACCTTGATTCCATCTACATCATTGAAATTAGCCATTTTATTAATTAGGTAATAAGTTGTATGAAAAAAAATTAGAGTTATAAGTAATCAGTAGTTTCCCCCTGATTACTTTGCACAAATCACCTTTGAAAGTAATTACAAGTCCTGACTTTGCTAGCTAGCTCACACAAATGAGATTTACTTTCAGATTTGGAGCATGTCCAACTTAAGTAAGCTTTTAGACTGTTCCATTTGACAACCTGTTATCAACATCACCCTTGCTTAGGATACTGTAGGTAAGCTTTGCCTAGATCACTCTGAGTGTAATTTCTAAACACATATTTATTGGGGCAAGCATGAAAAGAGGCACCTAAATCTACTATCCAAGATTCAGTACTGACTAGGGATAATATTATGGAGTCGTTTTCGATTTCACTAGTGGAGATTTTTGTAGAGAGATTTCTTTCTGGTCCTGTATCACCAACTTTCATTGCAACTTTGCAGTTCTTCTTAAAATGCCTTTTTTTATTGTAGTTCCAGCGTTCTCCTTTGCTTGACTTTGGCTTTGCTCTCTCTGACTTGGATCTACATCTCCCTGTATCGTTATCCAGATTCCTTCCTATGTTATCAGAATTCAACGCAGAACCTGATGATTCACTATCATTGCATTTCTGCAAACTTCTTCATTCAATATCAAACAATATCTTTGAAGATAGGTTTAAATTCTCTAAAAAATTGATCACCGCCGTAACCAAACCATCCCACCTTTCTAGCAATAAAGATAGTAACACCAGTAGCACAACTGACTCGTTATAGTATTGAAATTATTCAAATGTTTTGTAACTGCACTGTCATTCACCTTCTTCATGTTAGATAACTTCTTCAATAGAAAAACCTTAATAGAATCAAATGGTTTTTCATAAGATCCATCATTATTTTCTCATTTACAATATTAAACACAACAGACAGAAAAAGTGACAATTGAATAATAACTAGTGGCGTTCGATCCAACACTTCCCATTTCTCCACAAGCATAGACCAAGGCTCCTTATAATTTCTTGTAGGGAAGGTATAAATTTTTCTTATACAACAAATCCTACACTTGCATCTTCCAGAATGTGAAGTTTGTCCCATTGAACATCTCCACTTTGAACCTTGTTTTGTCGGTCGTTGCTCCAACTCAAATTGAACATCACTCAGATACTATTGTGTTGAGGAAATCTCGAAAGAATTCCCTTCCAAATTCACCGGGACTTAGAATTAATTAGAAATTTAAACCACATCACGGAATAACATCGCGTAGATTCGAGAAAACTATAACAAACATATGAACAAAAGCACAAAAAAATAAAAAAACAAACAAGAAAAGTACAAAAGAATTTAAAGTGGAAAAACCAAAAAATTGGCAAAAGTTGCGGAGCCACGCCACAATAAAAGTTCCACTATGAAAATAGAGAGTTTACAGAGAACATAATCAATTTTCTCTCCTCTCTCAAGAAAACTAACAAGACCTCGCTCCAAACACTTTCTTCTCCGATCCGAGGTGAGGTTCACTCGTCGGATTCACTGAAATCCTCCACTCAAACACTTCTTACCTTCAACGGGATTTTTGTTGAAGAACTCTCACACTGAAAGTAATCATTACACAGCTCGAAATTGGCCCTTAAACAAAAAATTCGTGCCAAACGCTTTGGGCTCATTGAATCTGTGCTTAATATCGGTCTGCGTGAGCCAAAATAATTCGTGAGCTGGCTCAAATTTTACTTGATAAATAGCTAGCAAACTAAGAAGGATTAGCTAACGAGTTAAGCTTGATTTAGACTTGATTCGACTGATCAGTATATCAATCTACTCATTTTACAAAAATATTAACGTAACATGCAGTTAAAATACACTAAAAATCAGAGCTAAGATATAAATTATTAAACATATGAAATAAAAATATTTTACTTTATTATATATGTAATTTATCATTAATTTTCCATTCAGTTATTCCATCACACATTCGCTTCAATTAAAACTATTTGTTTCTTTAATATTAAGACTTTTAATATTACGCTCGGCCTCAAACTGACTATTCAAACATAAGTTAGAAATAAGCTTGCTCGACATGTTGACTCTCCTTATTGCTAGAGGACGAGCTTGGGCACGCTCATTGAAAATTACCAATATTTATGTTTAACTCGTTTATATTTAATGCAAAAAATTTGCTCATGTTGGACTCGTTTGCTTAGCGAGCCGAACACAAACTATTCGCTAACAATTAGTAGTTTTGAAAAACCTTGTTATGAAACTGTATGATGTTAAGAGTAGGGCAAGACCTAAATCTTATTATATATGTTAAAATATTTATTTAAATAGAATTTAACATACTTTTATTCTAATATTTTAATCAATAATATAAATTGATTATAAATATTTCTAGCCCAAAACAAATTTTAGTTTGTGACTTTTATTCTAATATTTTAATCAATAATATAAATTCATTATAAATATTTCTAGCCCAAAATAAATTTTAGTTTGTATTCGACTCGTTTATATATCTAGCGCAAAAAAAAATTTTGATCTAGCTCATTTTTTTGGCCAACCAAGAGTGTAACGAGTCAAATATGAGCTGTTGGCAATGAACAATGAACAATGAACATCTCGACAGCCCAACTTCCGGTTAATGTTGCTTTTTTTTGTTTGATTTACATATCTTCTCCTTTTTATTTTTTTAAACAAAAAAATAACACAAAATAGCTCAAATAAGAATCAAATACACGAAGAAAAACAATTCATCAGAGTGCAACAAAAACAATAATGCACAAAAAAGAGAATTTCAAATGCGTACAAGTGCTTCCATAACATACAACCCAAAATATATAAATGAAATGAAAAAAGTTAGGAAACCAACAATCGATAGAATGATGTGAAGTAGAAGAAGAGGAGTTCAAAATTCAAACGACAGTAACACACAGAACTGAACATATCACGGATGTTGAGGCTCTGCCGGCTGCAAGTGCGGTATCTCTGGCAACTCCGGCTTGGGAAATTCATGAGGTATCTCTGGCAATGGCGGCAGAGCATCTGGCTTTGGGAGGTCATGAGGGATTTCCGGCAATGGCGGTAACTCTGGTTTGGGGAGGTCATGAGGGATTTCCGGCAAGTGAGGGATATCTGGCTTCGGCAAGTCATGTGGAAACTCCGGCAATGGAGGCAACGCCGGTTTGGGTAACTCATGCGGGATTTCTGGCAGCGGAGGCAACTCTAGCTTTGGGAGTTCAGGCAAAGGAGGCCATTCTAGCTTTGGCAATGATGGCTGCTCCTCCTTTGGAGCTTCTTCCAACAGAAGACGAGAAGAGTTTCCTGAGAAAACGAGCGCCAAAAGAAGGGAGCACATGATGATCAGAGATTTGGAGGCCATATTCAGAGAAAAGATTGGAGAGGGTTGATATGATGGAAGAAGGTGGCTAATGCATGTGGTATTTATAATTGAAGTAAGGGAGTGTTGAAACTTAATTTGCAGATTTTGTATGAAGCAAGCTCATCTTTTGTCAATTAATATTAAGAAAATATTTATGTGGTAGTTTGGTTGGTGGCCTTTGCTGTAATAATTTATTTGCGTTTGGTTTGGCTGTTGGAGCAACTGAGCATAGAAAGACTGGGGGAAAAGAGGAAGATGAAGATGAAGATGATGAGATGTCGTTATGTAGCCTAATGCCTAATTTTGAGTTAGCTCACCTTCCTACAATATTCATGCCAAGAAGAAAACTTGAAAGTGGATAAACTTATGCGCCCTTTTCGGACTTTTATGGGAGATTGACGAGGTTATACAGCTAACGACTTAGCTAGATTTATACTTATAGGCACGCCATCAAAATGCGATTAGACTTTTCTTCCTTTTTGTTTTCGATTGAAGCAAGAAAGCTTTGGTTTGAAGTAATTAGAAGTAGGAAATGAAAATGAAAATAATAATCAAATTGAATTTAGATTAATTTTTTCATGCTTTATTTATGGATGACATACAAATTGAGTGAAATTATACATTTGTTTAAATTTATTGTGTGAATAAACAATGTAGGGATATGAATCGCAAAAATGATTTCTAATTTTTTTGTCGTCTGTTTTACTATAAATGAGTGTGGAATTGTAATAAAAAATAATTAAGTATAAAATTGGAAATAGAAAGCTTGAATTTAGTGTTACTATATGGTCTGATTTCTGTTAATCAATTGTTTACTCCAGAGGATTGTTGTGTCATTGTGGACGTCACATCGTCCACATAGCTACAAGAGATAGCTCTACAGGTGCCCGTGGAGAATCACGGAGAAGTGTGACTTCTTCTGGTGGGCAGACAATCTGTCAGGTTTCACCGTCGAAAGTGATCGAGAATAGATATTATACTTAGAGGACAACGTAGATTGTGACATATGGCGTCTATATTTTTAAAATAATACTATCATTTTATTAAATATTATTTTCATAGTTTTTTTTTCTTTATTTTAATAATCCTGATAGTGTATATCTTTTTTTGGTGCGGTTTTGAAGTAGATTTTTGCTTCTCACATGTCAAATATATTGACATGACAATCCTGTTACACACAATATTATTATGCAAGGACGGTATGATCATTTATCCAGAACAGCTGCAACACAATTGTATTCAATCTGCAAAAAATAAATTACCAACCAGCTTATTTGCAGCAGTTTCCTGATGCAGCTGCTGCGTAGCAGTTTATTGATAAGTTGCAGTGTGTATGTATAGATGTATATATGTGTGTACATATGTATATAAACATTGGTGTATGTTTAAGTTACAGTTTGAAATTTAGATTTAATGTTCAACTGGGTTTCAGATTTAGGTGAATTAAATTTATTGTATATTAGTTCAATTTTTATTTATTTAACCATGGTAATCAAATTTGATACACCACCAACAAATTTTCATCATCCAACACGAATTTCGAGACATGACACGAATCTCGAAATGATATTTTAATCAAAAAAAACATTCAAATATTGTTAAAAATTCATATAGAGCTCCAATTTCAGTAAATTTATAGTCAAACTGACCTGTTCAATGAGACAAACCTAATGATATGAAAACTAGCTCAATCCAAGTCAAATCAAGCCCAGATCAAGTCATTAAACTACAGTTAGAAGATTTGTGAATACATTTGGAAAGTCAAACGACTGTCAAATATTACAAGTTTATATTCAAAACGAGCGACTCGACAAGACGAATCCAACGAGCCTAAGATCACTCAATTCTAACATTGTTAAGACACTCAAATGTTCATTAAACGCCCGTATGATCGAGGGAAGCTCTCCGAACCGTTAGATCAAAATTGTTTGTATTTTTATTAAACGCCGTATGATCGAGGGAAGCTCTCCGAACCTTTCGATCAAAATTGTTTGTATTTTTGAACTAATTGCACCCAGAACACTATAAATAGAGCTTCATCCCTCTCATGAGGGGGAAGGAAGTCTAGAGAGTCTGAGGTCTTGAGGAGAAGCTGCAGCTCAGCATCACCACCAATCGCATCGATCACCGCCGACCTCTATCGTCGACCACCGCCGACCTCCGTCATCAACCACTGTCGATCTCAGACGACCACTGCGGAGCTCAGACGACCCGACCACCGCCGACCGTCGTCGACCACCGCCGACCGTCATCGACCACCGCCGGTCGTCATCAACCTCCACCTATCATCATCAATCACCACCAACCAGACGTCGTCAGTCAACATTGTAATATGAAAAATATAGTTACCATTTCCCGTCTGTGGGACAAGGGATTTTTGTAATCATTAATCAATAATGAATTTCCGCAACTGGGCCAGAACTCGTGGTTTTTCCTTACGAGTTTTCAACGTAAAAATTTCTGCAGTCATCACTGTTTGTTTTCTCTTTCATATATATGTGTGCTGAACTTTCGTATAACGCTAAGACACATCTATATGTGTGCTGAACTTTCGTATAACGTTAAGACAATAGTCTGTTACTCTACCGCCGTAAATTTTCTAGTACGCATCAAGTATATGAATGGACACATTTTAACAAAATATTAACATAACATGCAGTTTAAATACACTAAAAATCACGAGTTTAGATATAAATTATTAAAAAAATACGAAATACAAATAGGTAACTTTATTATATATGTAATTTATTATTTATTGTCAACTCAGTCATTTCTTCACACATTTGCTTCAATAAAAATTATTTATTTCTTCAGTATTAAATAAGCCAATTTAGACCCGGCCTAAAACTCTATTGATTAATCAAGCATAAGCTAGAAATAAGCTTGCTCCACTTGTTAACTCTCCTTATGGCCAGTGGCCAAGCTTGAACAAGCTCATTGAAATATATCACTATTTATGTTCAGCTCATTTATATTGAATGAAAAAATTTTGCTCATAATTGACTCCTTTGCTTAGTGAGCCGGACACGAGCTATTTGCTAACAACGAGTAGTTTTGAAAACCCTAGTCATGAATCTGTAGGATGTTAAGAGTAGGGAAAAGATCTAAATCTTGTTATGTATGTTAAAATATTTATTTAAATAGAATTTAATTTACTTTTATTCAATTTTTTTAATCAATTAATTTAATTGATTATAAATGATTTTACCATAAATAAATTTTAGTTTATGTTCGAATCGTTTATATAACAAATTTAACAAAAAAAAATATGTTCATATTTAGCTCATTTTCTTGGCCAACCTAGGGAACCGAGCTATGGAGCGAGTGAATATGTGCTGTTGGCAATGAATAATGAGCGTCTTGAAGCCCAACTTCCGGTTAATGTTGTTTTATTATTATTATTATTTGCATTTTTTTTAACATAAAAATAACACTAAATGGTAAAAAGAAGAATCAAATACATGAAGAAAAACAATTCATCGGAATGCAACAAAAAAAATAATGCACAAAAAAGAGAAATTGAAATGACGACAAGTACTTACATAACATACAAACCAAAATCAAGAAATGAAATGGAAAAAGTGAAGAAACCAACAATCGATAGAATGATGTAAAGTAGAAGACCATGATTTTAAAATTCAAACTACAGTAAGACACAGAACTGAATACATCACGGATGTTGAGGCTCTTCTGGCTGCATGTGCGGTATCTCCGGCAACTCCGGCTTGGGCAACTCATGAGGTATCTCAGGTAATGGCTGCAGAGCGCCTGGTTTTGGGAGGTCATGAGGGATTTCTGGCAATGGCGATAGCTCTGGTTTGGGGAGGTCGTGAGGGATTTCTGGCAATTGAGGGATATCTGGCTTTGGCAAGTCATGTGGAAACTCTGGCAATGGAGGCAAAGCAGGTTTGGGTAACTCATGAGGGATTTCTGGAAGCGGAGGCAACTCTAGCTTTGGAAGTTCAGGCAAAGGAGGCCATTCAAGCTTTGGCAGTGATGGCTGCTCCTCCTTCGGAGCTTCTTCCAACAGAACACGAGCAGAGTTCCCTGAGAAAACGAGCGCCAGAAGAAGAGAACAGATTATGATTAGAGAATTGGAGGCCATTTTTAGAGAAGAGTGGATAGTGTGGATAGGATGGAAGGAGGTGGCTAATGCATGTGGTATTTATAATTGAAGTAAGGAAGTGCTGAAACTGAATCTGCAGATTTTTTATGATGCTAGCTCGTCTTTGTTCAATTAGTATTAAGAAAATATGTATATTGTAGTTTAGTTGGCGGCGTTTGCTTTAATAATTTATTTGCGTTTGGTTTGGCTGTTGGCGCAACTGAGCATAGAAAGAGAGGGGGGAGAAGATGAAGATAAAGAAGAAGATGAAGATGATGAGATGTCTGTTATGTAGCCTAATTTTGAGTTAGCTCACCTTCCTATCAATATTCATGCGGAGAAGAAAACTTTAAAATGGATAAACTAATGCGCCCATCTTGGAATTTTATGGCAGATGATGAGATGTATGTTATGTAGACTTCGGTAGATTTCTAATTATAAATGCAATTAGACTTTCTTCCTTTTGTTTTCGATTGAAGGAAGAAAGCTTAGGCATGAAGTAATTTGAAGCAGGAAAAGAAAAGGAAATGAAAATGAAAACAATAATGAAATTAGATTTAGATTAAATTTTTTCATACTTGTTTAACATATGACGTACAAATTGAGTAAATGTATATATTTGTTCAAATAATAATTTTTTTTCCCGTCTGTATTACTATATATGAGTGTGGAATTGTAATAAAAACAATTAAGTATAAATCTGGAATAGAAAGCATGAATTTATTGTTATTAAATGGGGTCAAATTTTGTTAATCAATTGTTTACTTAGAGCTCTCAATTTCACCTATCAAGTTTTACAGCGAGTTTGTTAGGGAGCTAGGGAGTGTCCCCCTATATTGGGTTCAGGAGCGTTAATTTTTTCTTTACACAAATCCCCTGCAGTGCAGTACTTATTCCAGTTTCTGAACTAGAGTATGACACTGCAGCATTTGGATGTCAGTACCCCTTTGGAGCGTCCTATAATTACTATTACGACCCCTCGGGGTGGCCTAGTAAATGCATTTGAAGTTCTTCACTTAAAGTTTTGGTTTTGATGATTAGAGATTTTTTTAAATTTCTTTTTGTGCGAAGGAGAGAAAATGAGCATCTTGAATTGTTCTAAAGTTTAAAGAAGCTTCAGTGTAGTATAATTTGTACAATTCTCCTCATTTTCCTTATAATGGATCGCTTGGAGTGGTGTGGCTCTCTCAGGTTTTTCTACATTAAACCTTGTGTTCTCTGTGTTTTATCATTTTGTGTGTTTTTATTCAAAATTTTGATTCGAATTTCCCGAATTAATTTCCATGGTTTAATCACGTCATCCCCCAACATTTGTGAAATAAATTGAATTGGCTTACTTTATTAACAAAGTTATTTGCTTATTTTTGTACTTCAATAGTGTAGACTAAAGTTGTTTGAATTAAACTTTAATAAATTTGGTTCAAGTTTGAGGAGTAAGTTTTAGGCCCCGTTTGGGGCAGCGGAGGACCTGCGGTGCAGTGGGGGGCCGCTGTTCGGTGATGTTTGGGGCGGCGGGGCAGCCGCAATACTCTGCGATATCACGTAAACACGAGACTCGGGTTCGACCCCACTACCCTTTTTTTTCCTTCGGCATTTTACTCATCCTCCCGCACTTTGTTTTGATTCCGCCCTGATCCTCTCCTACCTCTTTTGGTTCTTGCGCAAGAAAGGTGTCATCTTCCCCCTCCCTCCCCTCCTTCCTCTTCTCCGATGCATCTTACGCTTGCTGGTTCGCCATCTTCCTCCTCTGTTACTAGAATATATGTGAATGACTTGATTTTTTATTTTTGGTTTGGTTCGTCACTTTGCTCCTCTTTGAGAATGTGAATAGCTCTTTTATTGTAATATATGTGAATGTATTTTATGAATTAGATGTAATGTGTATGCTATATGTTTTGGATGGCTTGATTTTTTGTTTGGTTAGCCGTGGAGAAAAAAAAATTCATTCATGGATTGGGGATTATAGCAATCTGATGTTGGATTTTTTTTAGTGAGCCTCTATATCGGCTTTGTTCTGTTGGTCTCTACATGAGGTTCCAACAATAAAAATTGGAAAAACAAAATTATTGTAGACGCGGTTCGGGCATTGTTATTGTTCTTTGTTGTGGTTGGCTTGGATTGTCTTTGCCAAAGACTATAATTTATTATCTATGTAAAAAAACATTTTTAACACACATATTAGATTTTGAGCACTTATTGTTATGTTTTTTTTAATTTACAGTCATATGGACTTTATCCTTTATAATGTGAGTTTATAAATTTCTGCTTTTGAGGACAGTTTAGGACGAGACATACATCATGTTAAAAATAATATCATTATTATTTTACCTGTAATTTTATTAGTTTTTTTCTTTAGCACTTTCGGTACACATTGTTAAGTGAGTTGTATATCTGAACTTTGGTCTGTTTTGAAACAAATTTTTACTTCTGAAGTATCAAATATGTGACTGCCACAGTTCTGTTTTAAACAACTTAACTAAATAGGGATAGACTGGTCATTTTTCCTAAAATAGCGACCCACGGTTGTTTTCGAACAGCTACAACAAACAAACATTCAACTTCCCCGCAACAACTTTATGGGGAAGCGCAGTTGCAGCTAAAAAATAGAGAAACTACAGCTGCCCCAAACAGACTATTAGTTTGCACTTATTTCGCACTTACCTAAAAAATAGAGAAACTACAGCTGCCCCAAACAGATCATTAGTTTGCACTTATTTCAACATTCTTAAGATTTAGTGACTTTAATATTTACTTGAGTATAATTTATTTAATTTTAAACTAAGCTTAACTTAATTTAATTGTATGAACTTAATCATATGTGTTTGTGTATGGATGTAAAAAAGCGTGCACACATGTATATAAACATTGGTGTATGTTTAAGTTACAGTTTCAAATATAGATTTAATTTTTAAGCTGAAATGGCTATGTTGTTACTTTTAGTTCTATTAGTGGAACAAGGGAAATGGTAGTTTGTGATGGTTGCTCAATTTTTAATTGTTCATTTGTAATTACAAGACCTTTGTATTTTGTAAGCATCAATTCATGTTTGTTTATACTAGCTTTAACTTAATCTTTTGATGAGATTGTTAATAACAATCAATCTATTCTGTTGGATTTTCATGCACAACCTAGCACCACTTATCATTTTATTGTGAAATATCAACTCTAGGTTCATCTCTTACCTCATGGCTAATATAATATATCCTTCTGTGTCCTTGATTGCATTCCCAACCCAGCACCTTAGCTTTTTGTTTTCTTTGAAATGCTTAGTGTTTTGGATGTTTGTTTGGGTGTTGGATGAGGTATCTAAGATGGATTCTATCTTGTGCCTGCTTAGTTGTTGATGAGTTTGTGCTACGAGGTTCAATTATTATGATTCACTTGATTTTTTTCTAAGCGCCACCAAATCATTTGAATGCATTTTGAGCCCTCTCCGATCTCATCTTTGTTCTTGGGTCTCTTGATTTTGGATTTTTGGCACTCCATTGTAACTATTTCCATCTTATTGACCCGTACTTGCAATTGTTACATTTTGATCAATGAAATTTTGATACTTCTATTACTTAGTAATTATAAAACTTAAATGAGATTTATTCATAATCATGAATAAATTGTACACCAAATTATTAAATCACGTCTTTTCAATTCTGAAATTTATAAAAATATCAAAATAGCCCCAAAACTCTGTACTTTAATGTTGAAGTATATATATATATAGTTAAAACATTATATTTAATCCAAGCAATATATGAAAAGGTTTGTAATTAATGTACGTATAGGGGTTTAAGTGAGTCAAGCTGACTCGTGAGCCTGCTCGAGCTTGGCTCGATAAGTGGCTCGTGAACTTAGATCGATGAGCTAACATGCCAAGCGCAAGCCGACCTCAACTCGACTTGATAGCTCATGAGTCAGTTCATTTAAAAAAAAATAAATTAATATCAAATATGCATAAAACATATAAAATTTCAAAACTTTATCTTTACGATACTAAAAATATTTAAAAACTAATATTTTATATTGTATATCACGCGATTTTTTATTATTTATCTCCCAATTATTTAATATATTTCTTAGGTTTTTATAAAACAAATTTAGATTGATATTATTTTCTCTCTTTTATATTAAACAAACTGGCTCACGAGCAGGCTCGGAGTTGAAGATTTAAGCTCGAGCTTGAGCTTGAAGTCGACAAAATTAATTAAACTCAAGCTCAAGCCGAGAATAGCTCGAGCCCGACTCATCTCAAGTACACATCTTTTTGTACTCATGCGACATACAGTGGATAATAATTATCTACATGTGGAACGCTCGTTATTAATTCTCTTTAGAATTTTCATAAGAATATCTTTTATCTTTTTAAGAACGTATAATAATGTTATTATGAGAATATTATACTGACTCCAACGCCAAGTATTAAAAAGAAGAGTAAAATATATAAGAGAAATTAGAGGATAACATTAAGAAATTAATGCACGCAAGAAATCCAAAATATATATAAACACATAAATAGCACACGCAATCATCAATTACAAAAATTAAAAGTAAAATCAAAGAAAGAGAGGTACAATCTCATGATGAGAAATAAAAACAACGACTTCAAAGTTCGAACGGCAGTAACACAGAACACGTCAAGGAATTTGTATGAAGCTCATCTTTGTTTAATTTGTTTGTTTAATAAATTAAAGTAGTTTAAATTAAAGTAGTTTAGTTGGTGGCTTTCTTCTGATCAGTTTTTTGTGTCTGGTTTGACGCTTGGAGAAGACGCTTGGAGAAACGAAACTTATACCAGAGAGAGAGAGAGAGAGAGAGAAGGAGAAGTGTTTGTAACATAAGCTGATTTTGCGTAGCTCACCTTCTGATCAATATTCATATCAGAAAAAAAAAATGGCATTAGAAACAGATGCGCCCAGCTAGGAATTTGAGAGGAGATCGACGTTGCTAGCTGCCTGTTTAGCTTGATTTCTTTAGCTATCTTAAGCACCTCCCAAAATGTAATTTCATATACTTTAGATATATATATATATATATATATATATATATCGTTTATAATCTTTGTACTTGTTCCCAAATAAAGACTCATTTTGATAATCCTAGTCACGCAGTTTTAGGAGGTGAAGGGTAGGAGCGAGGTTTAGGAGGTGAAGGGTAGGAGCGAGGTTTAAATTATT